TTACTTCCTAAAACAACTAACACATAGTCATTGCTCTGTAGTATTAATTACCCAACCTGGAGGAATATAAACCTTCCATTAGAAGTGGATGATGGGGATTTAGCTCAGCGGCAAAAGCGTCTGCCTTGCAAGCATGTGGTTATAAGTTTGATCCCCGGTACCGATTTAAAAAAAAAGATGTAAAAGTGGGCATGATGGTGCACACTTACAGATCTAGGACTCAGGAGGTTGAGGCAGGAGGATTGCTGAGAGTTCAAGGCCAGTCTAAACTACATACTGAGACCCTGTCTTAAAAAAAAAAAAAAAGCGGGGCGTGGTGGCTCACACCTGTAATCCCAAGCACTAGGGAGGCTGAGGTGGGAGGATCCTTGGGAGTTCAAGACCAGCCTGGGCTACAAAGTCAGCTCAAGGCCAGCCTGAACTGCACAGCGAGACCCCATCTCAAAAAAGACAAAAAAAATGAAAAAAAGAAAAAAAGTAAAATAAAACCCCAAAAACAAACTACAACAAAAAAACAACCTGGGGGCTAGGGATTTAGCTCAGCAGCATAAGCGCCTGCCTTGCAAGCAGGCAGTTCGATCTCTGGAGGTACCGATAAAAAGGGAAAACACACACACACACACACACACACAAAAAAAAAAAAAAAAAAAAAAAAAAAAACCTGGTATTACTCAAAAGCAAAACCAGTTCATTGCTTGATACAATGAATTCCAAGGACCAAATTGCTACTGAGCAACTCCTACTCATTCAGATGTGCTTATGGACTGAGAAAGTACACCAATATGGTGAAGATTAAACAACATTGAAAAGCTATGCAAATCTCAATTCCTGAGCTGGGTGTTGTGGCGCACACCTGTGATCACAGCACTTAGGAGGCTGAGGCAGGATTGCTGAGTTCTAGGCAATCAAGGTTAGCCTGAACTGCATTGCAAGCCCATCTCAAAAAAAAAAAAAAAAAAAAAACCTCAATTCCTCATCTCAATAGTTATGCCATAATAACTAATAAAATGTTCCCTCCCTCTAAATCCACAAATTTCCCCTTTGAGAAAAGCCCTTCTGGGAAGCTACTCAATTGGAGAGCCCCTTGGGGGAGCTATGTGTAGTATGAGGCTGCAAAGAGATGATGAGAAAGCAATTTTCCTAAGCCAGACAGAGGTTTTGCTTTTGGTTTTGTAGCTATTCCCCTATCCTAACTGAAGCAATGAGTGTTATCATCAGTGCTCAATTAGCTGCTTTAAATGTATGTTTTATTTTAAAAAATGTATGTTTTATTAACATTATGATCTTAAAAAGTGATCTGAAAAAAATCTTTTTGAAATTTTGCTGAAAGTAACTTTCCAATCTGATATACCCAACTCACTTTTACTACTGTACTTTGCACTACCTTCAGATAGTCCATTGTGTTTTTTGTTTTTTGAGATAGGTTCTTGCTAAATAGCCCAGGCTGCTCTCCAACTCACAGCAATCCTCCTGCTTCAGCCTACTGAGTGCTAAGATTACAGCCCTGTGTGCCACCACACTTGGATAAAAGAAATCAGTTATACTAAGTGTTTTGGAAAAGATTTTATGAGGAAATCTAAAGTTCTTCAAAATGTAAGTAAGTTGGATGTGGTGGAGCATGCATTCCTGCAGTTCCAGCACTTAAGGAGGCTGAGGAAGGAGGATGGAAGTTAGCTAGGGTTACTTTGTGAGCTCAAGGCCAGCTTGATCTCCACAGTGAGGCCCTGTCTCCAAAAAAACAAAGCAAAACAAAAAAGATAATTTGATTATTTAACATCTGTTCTACATGAGGCATTGACATAAGCACTACATTCCAATTTTTCACCACTGAAAACCTATTTTCTGCTGGGCATGATGGTATACACCTAAAGTCCTAGCATTTGGAAGACCAAGGCATGTGGATCATAGGAAGCCTGAACTACATATTGAGGCACTATCTCAAACCCCACCCCCCACAAAAAAGGAAGAAAAACTTCCATTTATTATTTCTATCCCAAGTACTGAAAGACTCTGTTGATCAACCTGCATCATTAAGTTTTCTTCATTCTTTTTAAAATAAATCTGAAAACTGATTATTAAGTCAAGGTCAGCATACAGCTAGAATTCACCTACCAAACTGAAAAAATTTCCATCTATAACTGAAGAAAACTGAACATACTCTTCCACACAGCCTTGAAAGAAATAGAGGAAATGTGACAAGGGACATGGAATTTGGATCTTGGAGCCTGACATTTAGTGCCTCATCTCTTCCTACTACAGTACTACTTCACTTAAAGTAATTTTCAAGTTACCTAAACTTTACAATTACCTCTTTATAAAAGTACAGTAAAATGATAATACATTAAATTTGATTCTGAAAACATAAAAAAAGGCCTCATGCAAATAACCTTGTTCATTCAGTAAGAAATCAGTTAATGTTACGTATTTTTTTCTGAGCTCCAATTCTTAGAAACAAATAATGTAAAAACCATAAATCCATTCTCGGACCAACTGCCTGGGGATTCCAAACTAGGTCAACTGGGCTAGACTGAGGGAGGCCAATATGAAATAGCTCAAGAGCCTTCACTTTAAGGAAATCAGAAACTAGTGTGGGAAAGACAAGTCTGGTGGGGAAGGGTGGTCAGACCACAGCCTAGTAATTCTAGTACTCTAGTAATTCTAGTAGTTGGGAGGTTGAGGCCATAAGGATCAGGAGTTCTAGGCCAGTTTGGGATACATAATGAGTTTAAGGCCAGCCTGAATTAGGAAGTGAGACACTAGGGAGTCTCAGAGAGAAAGGGAGAAAGAGGAAAGAAAGGGAGAGAGACAAAGAGAGAGGGAGAAAGGGAGAGGGGGAGAGAGAGAGAGAGAGAGACAAGCTTGTAATATGAATCAGATCTTGACAATGTTCAAAAGGGAAACAAAGAAAGTGCGGTGGTCAAAAGAAGAAACACCTCACTCTGAGGGGACTGGAGGGCACACAGTATAGATGGCACTGGAGTTCAATCAAGGACTTGCCTGGAAGACCAGAGTGGTTAAAAGGCAGCCTTTCCTAGGTAAATCATACACAATGTGCAACAGGAAACCCCATGACTTCGCTTTGAAGCCACATAGAACTGATCATAGCCCACTCTCTACCTGGCTGAGTAGCCCAGAGCAAGTTACTATGCATTCTATTTTCTCATCTACAAAGTGAGGACAATAACGTCTACTTCAAAGGGAAGATTAAACATGATCATGAATATGAAGTACGGAGTTGCAGAGTAGAAGCTGGAAAAATTAGCTGTTGGAATTAGGTATAAAAGATTGAAGGGAACCAAAGGATGGGAGGTAATCATGTTGAACTGATTGTTTTCAGCCTAAGAAAGTTCTTGCACGCCAAGAGGTTACAATTGGCTGCTTAAGGCCACTAGGACCGTACAGGTTTCTTTCTTTCTTTCTTTTTTTTTTTTGAGACAGGGTCTTTCTATGCAGTTCAGGTTGACCTTGAGCTCACTTTGTAGCCTAGGATGGTCTGGAACTCGCAATAATCCTCCTGCCTCAGCCTCCCAAGTACTGGGATTACAGGCGTGAGCCACCAGGCCTGGTGGCCATACATGTTTCTAACAAGAGGAAAAAGATTGAATATTTGCTATAGAAGAACTCTAGTGTCCTTGAAGGGTAGTCAAAGGAGTGGGCACCTGAGAGAGGGTGATGGAGTTCAGTAATTTCAATGAGATTAAGAAGCCAGACATGCACTTAGAAAATCTTTAAAGTTAAATCTGCAAGGCATACCAGATGGCAGTACTTGATGAGCAGAGAAATAAATGAATTAACAGTCCTTTCATCTAGGTGAATAGTGGTGTCGCTGACAGAAAAGATGAGGAGGGGTTTGGAGTACAATGATCTTTTGCGCTTACTTCCACTACAGTTTTATAAAGTCTTATGTCTTCACCAGTCCTTAGTGAAAAGGAAAAGTCCTTAGGAAAGGAGGATTCAGCGGTTGCGACTCCACTTTGAATATCTAGTTCTACCAATTGTGACTCTACCCAGACAAAATCCCCAACTCTTTATCTCTTCCCAGGAAGAGCTCCGGTCCCTGTCCCAGACGAGATGCTGCTCGCCTGGACTACACCGTCAACGATTCACAAATGTTGACTTGTAGTGACCTCCCCCAGAACATCAGCAAATCCACTGATGAGCGAACTAAGTCAATTTAGCAACTGTGTTCCTCACCAAAGGAGAGGCATTAAGAAGGTACCCCATTACATTCGAGATCCAAAGCAAGTGTAACCAAGTTATTTTTACAAACTTTGGTTTTGACTCGAACGACAGGAGCCAACTCTCACCCCCCTTCAAATGGCACTTTGCTTCGACAAGGAAAGGAGATCGAAATGACTAAGTGGTGGATGGGGAAGAAGATGAGGAAGGAGAACCGAGCCGCGAATGGGGTCGAACCCACGCCTTCCTGGAGTTGAAACTTCCCGGCTGTGTGATTCTGCAGTCACAAGGCGACAGTTTTCTCGGTCTCAGAGCAATTTCAAACGACCCACCAACAAACGGATCTAGTTCTGGCCGCCAGCCTCCTTCTTTCCTCCTCAGCCCAGGCCGGGCCTTTAGCCCAGGGCGGGGCGGCTCCGCAGCGCGGGATCCCCACTAGGGTTCCGGGGCTCTGTGTTCGGGCCTTCTCCGCGCCGCTAGCCTAGGCTCTGCCCGCCAAACCCCGCATTCACGGCGACCCCCGCCGGGGCCGCGGACGCCGCGACAACGGCGACACGGCTGGGCCCCAGGAGGAGGGTCACGCGGACGCCTGGATTGGGCGGAGGGCCAGTGGCAGCCCCGGCGCGGCCTGCAGCTCCCGCCCAGGCTGCGGCCTAGATGGCCCCGTTAGTTCGCTCAGCTCCATGCGGTCCGGCGGGACAGCGGGGCCACATAGAGGGGGAACCCGGGCGACGGCGCCCAGGAGAGCTCTAGGCCCACTGAGGGGCCCCCGGTTCACAACGCCGCCTCCCGCCCTACCGGCACCGGAGAATGGCTTTTACCTTCATCAGCCTCCTGCTGGCCGCCATCTTGGATCTGGTGCTGCTACCTTCCCAGAATGCATTGCGCCCGGTCGGGCGGCTGGAGCCCCCGCACTTCCTGGAGCGGGGGAGGGGTGGTGTGAGGGGCGGGGCTCTTCCCCGAGCGAAGCACCTACTATGTGCTGGTCACGATGCGGAGGAGTAGCCGGTGAACCCTGGTGAACCAAACAGTCAGAGACCTCACCTATCCAGGCTGACAGCAGATGTGAAGTGCCTGGCACATAGTAACTGCACCAATGATTATTCGTTGTATAAAATATTTGAAAAACCAAAATTATTTCAGGTACAGATAAATGCTATGAAGAAGTGAAAACAGTGATGAAATAGTAACTGTGGGGGGTCCGGGGATTTAAGTCAGTGACATAAGCGCCTGCCTGAAAAGTGTGAGGTCCTGAGTTGGATCCCCGGTACCAAAAAACCCAAAAAAACAGTTACTAGTGACTATGGGGACCTATTTTTCATTAGGAGGTCTGGGAAGATTCACTAAAGAAAACAGTGTAAAAACTGACACTCACCCTGTCACAGTGGGGCACACTATAGTTCTAACAGCACTCTGCAGACTGAGGTGGAACAATTCCTGGGAGTTCAAGGCCAGCTTGTACTACATGGTGAGTTCAAGGTCAGCCTAAACTACATAGGGAGACCCTGTCTCAGAAAAAGCAAAAAACCAAAGACTGAAACCTACTGAGCGCCAGATTCCTTTCTAACACTTTATTATCTTTAATACTCAAAACCATCCCATATTATGGTTACCATTAATCTCCTGATACACCAAATACTTGAACAAAGTCATATAGCCAGCTAGGAGCATGGGTTCCATGTGTCAGGCTCCAGAGCCAATGCTGGAGCCTGAAGATTGGAAGGAATTGCTGGAAAGGTTGCAAGAGAATGTCTCAAGCAAAGGAATCTTGATTGGCAAACATCATGACAATGTCCAGATGGTCAGTATGGAATAAAAAGAATTAAAGGAAGGGAAGACAACAAGTGATAGACATGGGAGTCCTGCAAAAACAGGAGGAGTGGGCTGGGGATTTAGCTCAGGGGCACAAGCACCTGTCCAGCAAGCATATTGGTTGTGAGTTTGAGTCCCGTACCAAAAAAAAAAAAAAAAGCAGAGGGGTATAGTTTTATTTCAGGTACTGTGAGAGGCCTCTGGTGGACAGGAGTATGGATAACATGGTCAGATGCATTCCTTTAAGGAAAGTGCTCTGATTGAAAAATGGTGTATGTAGCTAGATAGGGGAATAAGAACAGAAAAAAAGAGAAAGGAGGAAGGAGGAGGAGGAGGAGAAACAAGAAGAAGAAGAAGGAGAAGGAGAAGGAGAAGAAAAGAAAAGAAGAAGAAAAAAGAAGGGAACAGGGCAACAAGGCCCACTTGAAAGCCATAATCCAGGGCCTGGAGATTTAGCTCAGAGGCATAAGTGCCTGCCTTTCAAGCAGGCAGTTGTGAGTTCAGTCCCTGGTACTGATAAAAAGGAAAAAGACAAAAAAAAAAAAAAAAGAAAGCCATAATCCAGTCACAAGATCATGGTATTTGAACCTCACGATACATTTAGGACCTCATAAAAGTTTTTCTACATTCTAAACACATTGCAATTTCCGCAAAAGAGAAAAAGGGAACAGAAGAGGTTATATTGTGTAAGGGGGCTGGTCTCCCACACTGCATCCTAGGGGCTCAAGCTTGATCCTGGGAAAAGGGAGGAACTAAATGGCAAGCCTCATGCAATCTGGGATCTTGCCTTGCTTTTCCGTTTTGGAGACTGGGTCTCACTATGTAACCCAGGCTAGCCTTGAACTTGAGGCAATGTTGCTCTTTAAAGTTTCCCAAGTGCTGGGAGGTAGGCATGCACCACCACCCCTTTCTTAGGTTTTCTTTTATTTAAAGTTCTCTTATTTAAATTTTTGCTTTTGCATTGGGCATGGTGGCACACAAGCCTGTGATCCCAGGACTCAGGAGGCTGAGGCAGGAGGATCCTGTGAGTTGAGGCCAACTTGGGCTACAGAGTGAGTTCAAGGCCTGCCTGAACCACATAGTGAAAACCTGCTGTAAAGGGGAAAACAAAAAAAAGAGATTTTGCTTTTCAAAGTGTTTAGTTCTTTGTTTTGTTGAAACAGGGTCTTGGGGGCTAGAGGTTTAGCTCAGTGGCATAAGTGCCTGCCTTGGAAGCAGGCAGTTGTGAGTTCAATCCCCGGTACTGCTAAAAAGGAAAAAGGCAAAAAAAAAAAAAAAAAGAAAAGAAAAGAAAGAAACAGGGTCTCACTATGTATATCCCTGAACTCCCTATGTAGCTCAGGATGGCCTTGATTTCACAGCAATCTTTTTGCTTCAGCCTCCTAGTTTATATGGGATTATAGGAATGTGCCACTATTCCCAGTGGTATTCATAAATTTTAAAAAACTTTCACTTGGAGGGTGCTGAGGATTGAACTCAGGACATTCACACTAAACTATATTCCCTTCACATTTTCTATCTTTGTGTGTGTGTGTATGTAGAAGTAGTTTGGCTTGGTTGTTGTTGTTGTTCTTGAGATTGAGTTCACTAAGTCCCTAAATTTCCCAGGCTGGCCTTGAACTGGTGATCTTCTTGCCTCAGGTTCCCAGAGTGCTGAGATTATAGGAATACACCACCATGCCATTTAAATAACTTTTATTCTATATTATATAATTGCTCTATTTCATTGAGTTATTGTTAATCTTTTACTATGCCTAATTTGTAAATTAAACCTGATTATGTGCCGTTCAACAATGCTTCAGTCAATAATATCAACTATTATGTGGTTTCAGACATTCACTAGAGATATTAGAATATATCCACTTCCAAAAACAGGGACTAATGTACCTCCCCTTGGGGCCAGCACACTGCTGAAACTCCATTAGTTCCCTAGAGTCATGGGGGACTTGAAAACCTGGGGCCTGACTCCATGGTCACACTGTGAGCATAGGGCCTGCCCTTTGTGGGCCCAGCTCCTTTCTTGACAAAAACTTTCTTGACAATTGTGGTTCTTCTGTTGAGTTCCACAAAGGAAAGGGACCCCCACCCCTGAGAAATTCTAAGCCAGCTGAAGAAGCACAATCCAGACCTTTGACCTTGGCAAAGCTGAAAATAAAGACTGGGATTGGAAGAGGCTAAATGTCCAGGACTAGTCTTAGTCCAAGGACTAGTCTAAGCATCTTCTTGTATCCTTACCAGCACCCTGCAAGATAACTCCATTGCATCGAGTTTTTACAGATGGCCAGCTGAGGCTCTAAGCCTCAGGGTGCTATTGCTATATAAGTCCACAGAAAATGTAGCCAGGCTTAGTGGAAAAGCTGATTGTCTTTTGGGGCCTCCCCTCATCATCTAGTCACTTTTTTTTTTTTTTTTTTGTCTTTTTAGTTTTTATCGGTACCAGGTACCAGGGATCGAACTCACGACTGTTTGCTTGGATTGTCTGCTTGCAAGGCAGGTGCTTATGCCACTGAGCTAAATCCCCAGCCCCTTCCCCCCATCTTCTAAAACCTTCACTATTTCCTGGAGCAGGGCTGCCTACTGATCACACCAGCATTCTTCTTCTCAGCCAAACTCTGTTCATTCAGGCCTTTCTGTAGCATCTCCCAGACCTTCTATCTGAAGGTACCTGTCTTCTTCCTTCTCTGGGACTCCAGGTCTCTTGCTCTAACCTGTCACATGAAGGGAGCTCCTTTCTCAAATCAGCACAGGGTCCCAAGTGCTAACTCTTGGGCCTCAGGCCCAGGTTTGGAGGAGATAGATGCACAGGTGGCATCTTCCTCCCAGGAGCTTACAGCATCCCAGGGAGGCATTAAGAAAAATGCCAAAGGACTGGGGATTTAGCTCAGTGGCTTAAGCACATGCCTGGCAAGTGTAAGGCTGTGAGTTCAATCCCTGGTACAAAAAAAAAAAAAAAAAAAAGACAACAAGAAAAATGCCACAGCTTGGCAAGGGATTGGTGAAGCATGAAGGGCCTGATAGAGCTAAGGGAGAGGCCAGAGATGCAAGGCGTTCTCCAAGAAGTTACCTCTGGGGAGGTGAGAAATGGGCAATAGACCCTCATACCTGCTACAACCAACTGGCACAGGCTCCTGTACCCACCACTGAGTTTGTTGGCATCATAGAACACTGCTAAGATATTCTATTTGACAGAAGAGGACACTAAGGCCCTGGGAAGTGGCTTGCCCTGGTCACCTAGCTAGGAAGCCAGGTTCCAGGAGTTAGGCCTCCATGTAGAGCATGGTGGTAAGGCTCTGCTTTCACCTCTCCCTGCTACCCTGAAGCCTCATCTCCCCAGCCCTCCCTCCCACACAACCAGCGCTCTAGCCCCATGCTACCCCCTGCCTTTGCCTACATGGCTTCCTTTGTCTCGGATCTTTGTTAGTCTCTTCCCCCACAACCCCCATATCCATCTGGCAAGTACTATTCATGCTTCCAGACTCAGCCTATCACAATCTCTTAATTGGGTAACTCAGGCGGTATGCTGGTCCCCTAGGCATGAAAATACACTCAGCCTGTCACCCCCACCCCACCGCCCTCGCTCTCGCCCTCTGAGGTCAGCACTGGTATCAGCCCTGTTGACAGGAAGAAACAGAGGTTTACACTGTGAGTCATTTCTGAGCCACTTGGCTGATCAGAGGCTCAAACCCAACTTTGCTTTTGTACTATGAGGGCCAAAGCAAGGCCTAGGATATTTGGCTGACCGAAAGGGCTCCTCTTCCCTTTTCTCTTTCCCACCCATTCTGCTTTCCTTCTATCCTCCCTTCTTGTCTCCTTTCCTTCTCTCCTCCTGTTATAGGCAACAGAGGCTCTGGAAGAAGCCAGTGCAGAAGATCAGATATCTTGCAACCTTGGAAGAGACAGGAACCTCTGCTGCAGGCCAGACCAGATCTCAAGGCAAAAGGCAAAACAAATGCAACTGCACCCTAAAGATAAACATCAGGGACTAATATTCTAAATAGGTATCAATCACCTTGAAGAAGCCAGAGGAGCCATTAACCCAACCCCTTACCAGCAAAGACCGTATTCCGTATTTATGCCCACTTGCTATGTGACTCACCTCCCCGTTTGATCCTGATTTCATCAGTTTCACCTGAGTAATTACACTCCCAGCCTTCTT